TTCCTGGCTGCTGTTACCAAGAGTGTTGATTGTGGAGCCAAGCAAACTAAAACTGTTAACTATCTCAATCTCTTCACCATCCATACTGATGCTGCCAACTGGCTCAGTGGTGAGAATCTTTGTTTTCTTGATGTTGAGCTTCATTCCATATAGGAGGCCTTTGCAGCAGGCCTTCTGCAGCAAGCGCTTCAGGTCCTCCTCAGTTTGAGCAAGCAGGGTTGTGTCATCTGCATAACGCCTATAATCATTTGCCTATAATCATTCATATACATCTTATTTTATAGTTGTGCTTTGTGTTTTATACAGCTATTCATATACATTGTGTTTTGTTCATGTACACTGTGTTTTGTGCAATAATCCAAATACGTTATATATTACATAATAAATTGTTATTGTTTTGTGCTACTGAGTTTGGAACTGACCCATAGCTGACCCACCGGCAGATTTTTAGAAGCAGTAAATTTCATGGGAGGAGATTGCCCATCCCTCTCCCATGGAACAGCTGGTGGATTAGAACTGCATATCTTCAGGATTACAGTGCAGCTTCTTACCACTAGGCCACCAGAGCTTTGATCTAAGCCCATTATCACCCCAACTTTTCAATTTCCCATTGAACCTTTCCCATTCCTTGACCTCCCCTCTATCCACCAACCTCTGCTATCTGAAGGATTTTCTGCCCCCTTCTCTCCTTCCCTTACTCCTGTTGAACATCTATACATATCAGTTGTTTTCCTATTTTTACAATAGTAATTCAAGCCACGGGTGGCAATACTTATAGATAGTTGGGGCAGAATGTTGAATGATCCAGGAAGTATAAAAAGAAAATGGAAGGAGTACACAGAGTCAATGTATCAGAAGGAATTGCCTGACACAGAGGAATTTCATGAAATAACATATGAGCAAGAACTTTTGGTGATGAAGGAGAAAGTTCAAGTTGCTATGAAGGAATTGGCAAAAAACAAGGCTCCAGGAGTTGACAGCATACCAATTGATTTATTTCAACCGACAGACACTGCCCTGGATGTGCTCACTAATTTGTGCCAGGAAATCTAGAGGACAGCCAGCTGGCCAACTGACTGGAAGAGATCGATATTTGTTCCCATTCCAAAGAAAGATGACCCAACAGAGTGTGGAAATTATCAAACAATATCATTGATATCACATGCAAGCAAGATTCTGCTGAATATTATCCAAAAACATTTGGAACAATATGTCAACAGAGAACTGCCAGATGTGCACAGGCTGGATTTAGAAGAGGTCACGGTACTAGGGATATTATAGCTAATGTA